TGACGCTGGCGGTTCAGTCTGGCCTGCAGGTGGCGTGGCTGGGGCAGCAAAGCAGCTCTGCAAATTGCGCAGGCAGCGAGAAATACCCGGTGGGGAGAAGACGAGCTGCGTGGCACCCCCGACTTGCCCTAGTCCATGCACACGCCAATCGACCTTCTACCCGGGCAATCTTTTCCCCAGGAAAATCGCCCTCGAGGGAGCTTTGCAAGGTGCTTCGGCCGCTGCTGGTGCAGCCCTAGGCTTTATCCTCCGGGATGCCCCTGCGATGCCACCCCAGCCGCCAAGCCCGCAATGCAACAGGGACAGTGTGTTTTTCCCGTGTGCGATGTGGGGGGGCCTATCTCTGCCGCGGGACCCCTGCCGGCCAGGGCTGCGATGCAGCCTGCTCTGGGGCCGGCTGAGCGCAGCTTGCAAGGAGCGTGCGCCCGCCTAGCACAGCCTGTCCTGTCCCTTTAAGGGCAGGCTCGCCCGGCCTCTGTTGATGCGGGAAGCGGAAGCCTGAGCCGGTCCCCACCCCTTGCTCCCGGCTTCCCGCAGCGGGGACGCTCCCGGGCGCTCCCTGCACGCGCAGCGCGGACTGCACGCGCATCCTGCGCCCGCGCGCAGGCGGGGCTCCTGGGGACACTGACCCGCGCCGGGCTGGGGTCCCCGGGCGGGGGGTTGCATGCAGAGGTAGGCTAAGGACAGCCCGCTCTGCGATGCTGGCTTTCCGGGGCTTCCCTTTCATCCCCTCGCCTGTGCGCTTTGGTCCAGTTGGGAGTAAGGAGGAGACCCTGCTGCCACCAGCAAATATTTTGCAGCTCTTGGACTCCAGGTGCGAGATCTCCAGCGTCAGGGGCTTGTATCCTGTCCCTGCTGCTCTAAACTGTAGGGCTGTCCTTTGTGGTGTTCTCCTCCGTCTCTTAAAGCCCCCAAACCTGGAGTGGAGTCCCTAGATTGCTTCTAGAGGGTGGTGGGAAAAGAGTACTGTCCCAAGAATCTTTGTTAGAAAGTAGGTCGGAATAAGGCATTTTTGTCTCTGCCCTGTTCAGGATAGATGGGATTGAATGGGGTTTTATTAGTTCTCACAAGGGTGAAAAGGTGTAAAAATGAGGATTTGTGGGGTATATTTCCTAGTGCGGGCATTAAAGCCAGAAAAAAACCCAATCTGACTTTCCAAAGTCTCAGGGGGTGGCTGTGTTAGTCTGCAACTTTAAAAATGAATGATCCCATGGCACCTTAGACACAAACAAATATATGATATCATGAGCTTTCAAGGGCAAAGCAAAAGTAGGTTTTGCCCATGAAGACCACTGATATGATATATATATGTTTAAAAGTCTCCGAGGGGTAAAACAAGTGGTCCCTTAGCACCTTAGAGACTAACAAAAAAAAACCCCAAAAGCTTTTGTTCCACTCATCTGAAGTGGGTTGTGCCCACGAAAGCTCATGAATCTATCTACCTATCTATTGATCTATCATATGACTGCTTGTTGGTCTTAACTTTCTGAAGTTCACAAATACATCAGATTCCTTTAAAATACTAATGTCTATTTCAGTGTCTTTCAGGAAGTGACTCAGGGCAGCAGAATGCTATAGAAAAGCAGATTGTGGTGGTGTAGAGAACCATGATTCAAGATTTCACTCTGGATCAGCCAGCTCCCAAATAATCCCGAAGCTAGAAAGCAGATGGCAACTCTGTCACCTCAGTCGCTAATTGCGGCAGCTCAGCAGAACCTGAGACCAGGGAGGAAGAAAGGTTTGTCTCCGGCTGACTCCTTGCACCTGGCTGGGGAGATCTTAGCTGTAGCTTCTGGATTGAAACCTGCTGTCTTGTACGATTACAGTTCAGTCGGAGTAGACAAAATCAAGAGCTACCTTCAGCAGGTCCACAGCATCGGCCTGACGAGGCATCGGCTGCACCTTCTAAACATAGCAGGCAACGTCCTGATACTCAACCTGGAGAAGACCGCACGGTGGTTGGAGACGCTGCTACTTACAAACCAAGTGCCCTTCGTCGACGTCTCAGCTTCTCAGACATGTCCCGGGCACTGTGCGCCAGAATACGTGGAGTCTATCAGAGGCCACATTGCTGAAATACTGGTTCATGTTCAAACCCTGGCAGGTGTCTCATCCCAGCCAGTCACCACCAGTGACATCTTCTCTGCGGACTGGAATCTGTGCACCATCTTTGGTGCTCTCCTGGGCTACCCGGCTTCCTACACTTTCACCACCGAGCGCGGGTTTGACAACTGTTTGTCTCTGACCCCACTGAGAGTTTTTACTGTCCAGGCCTTGTGCTGTAGGATAAGTAAAGACCTCCGAGTTCGAATTTATTCCTTCAGCGTCCCAGAGAACCTGTATCTTGCCATGAAGGAGGGGCTGGATGCCTGGAGTGGAAACCTGAAGGACGCGTTTAGTGCACAGAATGACTTTGCAAACCTCTGTATCTCCACAGAGGTGGTTTCTCTCCCTGCGGTTGCTCTGTAAATCTAGTTGCTTCATTTCTTTTCCTTACAGGTTGGAGGGGAGGGCGGGGTCGAGGCATGACATTTGAGTGGCACTCTTAACACTCCGGTATAGACAAAGGTTCATCTGCTGACATTGGGGATGTGAATGGTTAACTGGTGAACCAGTAACCCTCACCCTTCACGGGGGATGCTTACTGGTTAAGGTTAACCCATGGGGCTCCGGTTGTACAGAGCAGCCCCTGTCCATGGCAGACCCGGGCATGCCGCAGGCAGGGGCTGCTCTGGTGTCCGGAGCAGCCTCTTCCTCGCAGTGGACCCCCCCTCCCCCTGCAGTGCTCAGGCCAGGCTGGAGTAGCCCCTGCCTGTTGGGGGGAGAGAGGGGTGCACCAGCTCACCCCAGTGAGTCTTTAACCGGTTAACGAGGATTTTACGTCCCTAGTCAGCACAGCGCTCTACCCCAGGAGCATGGCTGGTGCACCCCCTGAGTGGTGCACTTATACCAACGTGTGTTTGCAGGGCAGGGCCTAGTGACCTCACGCTAATGGCACAATGGAACTCCACCTCCTTCTGCCTTCCACATAGGCCAGTGGTAATTCCATCCCTGCCCTATCGCATGAACCCCTGCTCCTAAGGAGTGTGCACAGGGGCAGGAGGCAAGAAGCTATGGGGCCTAATTCCGGTTTTATCTCTGGCTCCGCTTGGTGACATTTTTCTCCCCTATGTGACTCGGTTTCCCCGTCTGTAAAATGGCGATATTTACTTCCTGGAAGCATTGTGAGGATTAAAAAAAAAGACTCCTTATGCGGACAGTGCTTTGAATAGGTGAAGTTTGATAAATATTGTTACTACATTACCGAATGTAACCTGCCTCTGAGAGACTACTTGGGTAACGGCACGACTGTGTGTTTGCATCTGAGATACGGGCTGTTCTCCAAGCAGCAGAACTTGGCGGTTAAAGGCATTTCAGGAAGCACCAGCGCTGACTTAGATTAACAAGTCAGTATTGACATTGCTCAGTTTTTCTCCCCACACGTAATTAAAAACAAATCAGCAACCTCTGTTGCTTTGTCCGGATTGGAGGATGGCAGGGGTGTGGGAGGGGAAGAGGAACTGGATAAGAACTGAGGCCGTCTTGGCAGAGAGAAATGGGGCTCAGGGTTTACTGTCTACTTTCAAGTTCTTCCCCCAGCAATGAGAGGTTTTACGTGTCTGTTTCTATGCAATAAAAACGTACAGTTGCTGCCACGCAGACATGGAACTGTCCAATTAAAAAAAACAAACCAAGCCCCAGCACGATCTCATGGCATTTATTGGACCAGTGCGAAGTCCTGGAGGAGTGAGACCAGCTCAAATGCCCCCGAAACACCCCACCCCGTGACAATGAATGAAGCTGAGTCAGTTGCCGAGATGAGGTAGTTGAAATGGATTCTCAGGGTACAAAATTAGCTAAGAAAGCGGCTGCGGCTGCTGCTACCACCACCATGAGGAGAGGGACCCAGGGGCCACATTGTCTCTGAAAGGGAAAATTAGACGTGTTTAGTGAATCGGTGCAAACACAAAGGGACTTTTAAATTCACCCTCTAACACGGGCGCTGTTTCTCCCCCACTGTCCTGGTGCCATCACAAACCTTACTGCCTGCTCTGACATGTCCTTGACTTGGCTTTCTCCAATATAACTACAAAGCAATCTGTATTTAAATGAAAGACAAACAACCCCCATCCTTCACCCCCCCCAAAAAATCCTACTGAAACTAGACACTCCCATGGACCTGCGCCTGGGGAGAGGAGGGAACCAAGGGGAGGGATGCGGAGCCATGGTGCTTAATACACAACTGGCCAGGGCGCAGGCACTACACGGGTGCATACAGCAGAAGAGCCTGAGTAGAACAAAACTGAGGCACAACTGGCTCACACTTGGAGTCTGCACACGTGCCCAATGACTCCTAATCTGTGTGGCAGGGAACAGTGGGCAGAGTAAAGGTGAACTCCTACATTTGACTGCTTGCTCTGGAACAGCTTGAGCTCGTCCCGGCACTGCCGTAACTTGGTCATGCAGGAGCGGTACTCGTCACTCAGGGCCTCCAGCTCAGAGTGGAGCTCTGCGCACTGGAAACAAAAGCAGACAAGTGTTAGGGAACAGCCCCTGGGCACCAAGAACTGGGCAGGGCTCCATGACGTTTGCAGTGGAGCCGGGCCCGTGTGGTGGAGGACGGGTTTCCCTTCCACCTCCCGCAGTGTGACATCCTGGGCAGCACTGCAGTTTGGTGTTAAGCGGTGCCTGGGGAAGCATGTGCTGCCTGTGTATTTCCTCTCCTGGGGTCTTAGCCTGGCACCATTCAGCAGTACGTGAGTCACGGGGGAAGGGAAAATGAGCGTTCCCCCTCAACCAACACATACTCAACCCCCTCCTGGGCTAAGTCTACACTGGCAGCTTCTTGCGCATGAACTCTTTTGCGGAAGAGTTCTTGTGCAAAAACTCTTCCAGAAGAGAGTGTCTACACTGGCATGTGCTTTTGCGCAAGAGCATCCATGGCAGTGTAGACGCTCTCTTCCGCAAGAAAGCTCTGAAGGCCATTTTAACCATAGGGGCTTCTTGTGCAAGAAATTCATGTTGCCTGTCTGCACTGCCCTCTTGTGCAAGAGCTCTTGTGCAAGAGGGCGTATTCCTTGTGGGGAGAGGAATAACTCTTCCGGAAGAAGCCCTGTTTTACAACACTAGACTGTAAATTTACTTCTGGAAGAACGCTCGTGCAGTGTGGACAGCCGTTCTTCCGCAAGAAATGCCAGTGTAGACAAAGCCCTAGTGTCTCCGGCAGCAGCAGGGGAACGCCCCCCCCCCGTGTTCATGCAGAGCTTCACCAATGTGGAAGGCAGGAGCCAAGTCAGTAGGACTGAGTAAGAAAGGGGAGGGAAACGCATCACATCGAAGCAGCCCTTCCTTCCCCCCAATTTCCTCATTATTAGCTTTCCCCATTGCATGATTGCCCAGAAATTTTTTGTTTCCCAGTTTGTTTCCCAGCATGCTTTTCTGGGCGTGACCCTTTAAATTAGGCAGAGTCAAGCAGCTGCAGGCCTCAGAGGGCTGTTTTGGAACAGGCTGCTGCTGGACACCTCTCCTTTTCTGCCAGCAGGTAAGTAGTTGTTACATTTTGCCTTTCTGTGTGGGGGGGAATTGTGCTCTCAGTGACTCCCCAAACCCCAAGGTTCTGGCAGTGGTAGGTGTGCCCAGTGGAGATCTCTTGGTGCTGCTGTGTGGGTGGCAATGCCCAGTGGATTGGGTGTCTGTGGGGATTGTTTCCAGGCTGCAGCGTGTGAGGAGTGGTCTAGGGGAGGTGCAACACAACGCTGTGTTGGGGCACACCATGGTGTGCAATGGCACCTGGAAAAAACTCTTTGCAAAGCAAGGGCTTCCTCTCCTCTCTTTCTTGATGGGATGTGGCCACCTCCCTCCCTGTGGGGGTAGCTGAGTTAGACCCAATTAGCAATGTCTGGTGCTTGTTGCCACAGTGTGGGTTCAGGGAGACATGCTGAGCCCTGACGGTAACCCTGCCTATCTACCACAGAGAAGGCTAAAATCCTGTTTTATAAATTCAAGGCCCTTGGGGCCTCAGCCTAGGTACTATATATAAGCCAAAAGAGAAATGAAACCCTACAGCTCTCCCTCCCCACCCAAACAGCTCCCCTGAAGGGTGTGGGGCTGAGGAGAACATAAGGGAGGAGAAAGAGATGAAAGCACAGCAGTTGAATTCCCCAGAGCCCTCCCTGTAATTATCTGACCATGTGCAGGCGTGTTTGGGGAGGGGGGGGAAGGGGTAATTGCCCTTCCAGCAGATGCCAGGGCTTCTGATTGCAGAGGACAGACTGTGATAGCAGCTCTGTGGTCAGGGGAAGCCCACTGAGATGGAAACTGCTGTGTACGGTGGGGGGACAGGGGTGTGCTCCCCTCAGGGGCTTTGCTGACACATGCTTGTCCCTGGGAAACACTTGAGGATTCTACCTGCCCCCCCACTCGGATGCCTACAGGCCCCCTTTGCTTTCTCTGCTCCTTAAACACCCGTCTGCCCCCATGTCTGTGCCCTGCCCGGCTGCATTGTGCTTTGTGGGAGTGGGTGTTTGTTGTCCAGCTCTGCTCTTGCCTCCCACACCTGTGTGTGCATTGAAATATGCCTACGGGCATTTTGACTTGGCTGATTGCCTTTGGTGGATGTCAGCTTTGTTTCTGTCACTCACTTCTCTGGTACAGGAGCTAAGTTTCAAAGGAGCTAGCTTGGGGAGGAGAGGAAAGTCTCTGGGAAGATAGTACCCATGCAATGAGTTATTTTGATAGCTTCTCTGGGCACAGGCTATTCAACTTTGCATGCCAGGCTGACATACCTTTCTGCTTCTGTGGGGGAGGGCTTTCTTTGGGGTATGAACTATGTTGTGACTTGAAGGGGGTCTGTGCAAAGGACTTGCTTGTGGGGGTCACGCCATGACTATTATTTCACCTGGAACTACTTCGAGGAAGGTGGGGGTAGCTGAGGTCAGAATCAAAATGCAGTGACTGAGTCTCCACGCACAGATAAATGCTATTGGCCTGGTTACTCCTAAAAATCACCACCTCCCTCTTTTTATTTCTGCCTGGAAAGCCTTTCAAAGCAGTGATTAATCTCCTTCTGAGAACACTGAATCTCATTAACAGCTTGTATCACCTCCTCACCTCCTTTTCCTTGGCAATCAGCTGGGCTGTCCTCCTTTGTATCTGGTCCTTCAGATTTTCCTCTCCCTCATCCTCAGGGTGATTTAACAAAGCACCTTGTTTGTCTCTGATTGGGCAGGGGGGTTGGATCTGCATAGTTAAAACCTGATCTAAAAAACAGCCAGACTTCCAATGAGAAATGCCTCCCGGCTTTTGGTCTGCACCTTCCTAGTTCTACAAGTTGGTTATCTTTAATTCAGTACATTTACACGCGTATTCAGATTGCAAAGCAACTGGAAATGAACATGGGACATGGTTTCACATTCTTACTGCTCCATTGTGGGTGTGAACTCAGAATACTTATATTTATAACAATCATTAAGTGTTTGATCGTAGCATGGCAAAGTAAGCTACCTTTGGGGAGGAGAGAAGGGAGAAGTCAAAACTCCTCAAACTTTGATGAAGTTTTTCTCTGTGTCCATAAGTGATAGAGCACATCAAGTACATGGCCTCTAAGGAGTGTTGACATCAAATCAATTTATTGTTTAAGGCATTGCCATCACAGATACATGTATTTGAATAGACTGAGGCTAAATTTGGTATCAGTCAGGAATACACAGCAAGCTGTTATGAACAGTACAATTCCTTTACACTAAACCGATAAGTGGTTTTCACTCAAAGTTACTGTTTAACCTTTTCGTGGGAGATTAGGAGCACATGGGGTAGCTAGAGTCTGATTTACAAAGTTTGCTGACCTTTTCTTCCTACCACTTCTTCCTGAGCCTTCTGCTCTTTGGACTGGTTCTGCAACAGGTCTGCAAATAGAATAAGCCATGATGGTCACCCAAACTATGTGCACAAATCAGTTTCATTTGGAGCATTTCCTCATACTCTTTTAATCTGTCCCTTTAATCTGAGCCCTCCTTGTTTGTTTTTAGTTCACTGTAAACTGGTTCTACTGTGTGCTGGGCTTGACTCACTTCATTCATATAATTTTTTGGAAAACTCTGCCACGGGTTACATGCAGAGTACTCTGTTAAAAGCCCAGGGATTGTACAGTTATACCCTATAGCAGAAGAATTACGTCTTCTGTTGCTGACATTGCTATTGTAAGAAATACCCACACAGATGCTGTGAAGTCTGGACAGGTTTACTTAGGCGAAATCTTATTTGCTTATGATTATTTAATATTGACTCGAGCGTGGCTTCCTTCTCAGTGTACAGAGAAGTGCAATGGAACCTGTCAGCAGCTTCACTGGCTCCTCTATTCTGGCCAATAAGTACCAGACAAATTGGTTGAAACTATAATAAAGAGATGACTTAGAAAAGAGATGACTATGATGCGGGGGAAATGTGATAAAGGTCTATAAAATCATGACTGGTTATGAGAGAGTGAATTTATTTACTCCTTCTGATAACACAAGAGCTAGGGGTTACCAAATGAAATTAATAGGTAGCAGGTTTAAAACCAACAGAAGGAAGTATTTCTTCATGCAGCACAGCCAACCTGTGGAACTCTCTGCCTGGGGCTGTTGTGAAGGACAAGGATTCAAAAAAGAACTAGCTAAGTTCATGGAGGTTAGGTCCATTGATGGCTATTAGCCAGGATGGGCAGGAATGGTGTCTCTAGCTGCCGTTCATCAGAAACTGGGAACAGATGATGGGATGGGATCACTCAATGGTACCCTGTTCTGTTCATTCCCTCTGGGACACCTGGCATTGGCCGCTGTTGGGAGATGCTCAGTAGATGGACCTTTGGTCTAACTCAGTATGGCTGCTGTTATGTTCTTAGGCAGGTGCCAAGTACTGTCTGAAAATCAACCCCCTTTAAGGCATCTCAGGCTGTGTACCCAAAAAGGCTGTCACTTACTGATCACTCTGGAAAATGCAGGGCCCTTGTGTTTTAACTGGTTTTGCTCCAGCCTCAAAGCCTGTCTGTGTCTGTCTCTCCTCTTCCTTTTCCCCTTCTGTCCAGTCCCAATATCCTGATTGCAGAAGCCAGGTTGTATTTCAGTGAGAGCCGTCTCCTCTGAATCGCCTGTTGCCAGAAATGGCTTTTCTTTTGCCCTCCACTGTATCTCCATCTCTTTCCCCATATCAGGCGAAAACAATCTCCTTTGCCCTCTTCTCTTGTACTTTTTCTCGCTCTGCTAATATTTAGATGTCAGACAATCTGGGATAAAGTCTGCATCAAAGACGCACTGCAAAATGAGGTTGTGTGCTGCTACTGATCAAGGGCTGGTGATGTGCCTAGATGATCAGGCTGCAGTGTCAGGAGGGGGAGGGATATATTTTTTTGCCCTCCCTCCAGGTCACGGGATTTTTTGTTTGCAGCATCAATCAGCTGAAACGGTCTGATAACCTGGTCACCGTTAGAGCCAATCACGGCATCTATGGGTGATGGGTAAACCGGCTCGTGTATAACTAATAAACCAAACACTGCCACTGGTGTCTGTGCAGTGCTACTTACTGTGTAAATGAGTGATCGTGGCCTCCAGCGCCATCTTTTGCATTTGTTCATTTTGCAATTGACCTGAAATTGACAAATTGCTGATTAGTAGTCAGGGATGATTTAAAAAAAAAAATCCAAGGAAATCTGAGGCAATGCTGCAGGTTTACTTTTCTCCAAATCTGTACAACTTCTGTACAATGGAAAGAAAGGTGTTGAGAGCCTTAACGAGCTAATGGTTTTTCCTTAAGACTCCAGGGATTTCACAAATAAATGCAATTTAACCAGTGCTGGCAGCTTTTCTGCAGTTCTTCACACTCTGTTAATAAGGCTGTCGGTTTTGGTTTTAGTTTATATGCTGCTTTGTAAGACATTAGTTGATTACATAGATGGGACTGCCGCTAGTTTATTGGTCATTAATTTTATTTGTTACACTTAAAATAGCCACATGAGTAATAACTGGATTTCAGTGTCTGTCTGAGCTGCTGGTTGCCAATATGATTAGCATTTATTTAGGGCCTCATAATGCCCAGGCAGCTTGAGTGTTAAAGAACTTGCCAACAATCCCATGAAGTAGGTTAGTGATATCCCCATTTCATAGGTAGGGAAACTGAGGCAGAGAGCTGCAGTGACTCTCCCTAAACTAGAGTCTGTCATAGAGCTCAGGAATCAACCCAGACTTCTTGGCTCCCAGACGATCTCTCCTTGTGGGAAAGTCACCTGACTTCCTTATAATTCAGTGTCACTAGTTGGAGAAATATGGGATAATACTTAATCTGTTCTCCCAACTGGAAACCAGAATCTGCTTCCAAGTGGAGATGTTCAAGATGCTTAAAGAAAGGATTTTTATGCTGGGCTTTAACAACTGGGATTTTAAAAAAGAGAGAATGTCCTGCAGGTAACCTGTCAAGGAAAGACCTTTGCTATTACTGATCCTGCTCGTCTCTTTTCAAAGCCAGTACCTTGCATTGCCCTAGTGTGCTCCATTTTGAGCTTGTTGTCTTCTTGTAGAGCCTCGATTCTCAAATGGAGATCTTCACGCTCATTCTCCAAGTTGTGCAGGGCCTGGTGAAGCTGCTCGTTCTGGGTGTCGGCCCACTGCATGCAGGAAAGAACCTCAGCTTCAGGGCATGGGTCGGGAGAGAAGTTATACTTCGCAATTCAACAGAGGCACCCGGCGGGGCCTGCTTGTCAGAAATCCAAGTGAGCTGAATGCTCAACGCTTCTGAAAATGTGGTCCTGGCTAGTAAATAACAACCCAGCTTTGTTCAACCAAGGCCTCATTTTCAAAGTGCCCTGCGACTCTGGCCTGTGGAAGCTTTGCACCCCTAAAAGCGCGTCTTTGTGTATGCAATTGCTTCCACCAGGAGGGGACCTGTTTGGCCTCCAGTTGCAATATTGCCTCTTCGGAAGTGGAATATTTAACAGTGCGCAGAAAGGCTACGCAACCAAGCGGGGCAGAAAGAGACAATGACTCTGCACCACTGACTTTCAAGGGGAATCCAGGTACCTGAACTAGATAGTCCGGACGTGAGGGTGAAGGTCATGTGGAGCAGATGATACTATATAGAGATTTAATGAGTTTATCCATGTTTTAGACCAAGTTCCAGCCTGGGGAAAATCTAATGGTCCCCTAACAACTGTGATTTAGAAAGGACATGGATGGTGAAGTTGTGTTAGAATTAACCCCTGGACGGTCATGCATCCGTGGTCTTTGATAGCCTGCCCAGACCAGCAGAGGCAACAAGGCAACCATACAGTAGAGCAGGAACTTACTTGCAGTTTGTTCTGCAAAGCATGCAGCTTGTTCTCCAGTTGAGCGTGCTTCATCACGGTCTCACTCCACTCTGCTTGTAATGTGTCATAGTGTTCTTTCCAGAGAGCACAGTCATCTTCCTTGACTACCAGGGTCCTCTGAACAACAAAACACCATCCAGGACTCAGCGAGGTTAGTTCAGGACTGAGCTACATACAACGCTGCTGCACGGGGTGATTTTTATAGGCCAGGCTAATGCTAAAAGGGAAGGTTGAATCAAGATACGCTACTCCACAGGGGGTGGTGGTGGGAGGGGTAGGGCCTCTGATGGAAGGGGCAGGGCTAGGACTTGCCTTCTCCAGTTGGGCTTTCACCCACCATCCATGCTGCTGCTGATGTAATTTTGTAGGATTTTGGTTCCAAAAAGGCCCCCCAAAGGGCACTCACCCAGAGCTCTGATGTTACCAACTATGCAGCTGTTCAAAGCAGTAGCATTTCTCCTTCCCCCCACAATATTTAATCAATGATTCTTTGACCAAGACAGCTTAGATAACATCCCCACACACCCACATGCACTTACGAGGCCATGTTCTGATAAGTGTAGGGCGGGGGCTGGGGAGGAGGAGAACTGCTTCCGTCTTTGTTCAGTTGTTACAATATATCACTTTGCACAATTGTTGAAGATGGAAAAGAAATCCTCTTGTCACTTAAGCCAAGGGTTGTGACCAGTGGTTTCACCGGGAGCAGCCTTGGATCCAGCACGATTGAACTGGTGGTGTAATTGCATTTTTCAGAAAATGTAGCTAGGGCATGTGTTGTGGGATTGGTTCCTCACCTGAGTATTCTGTAACTGCTGTTCTGCTTGGAGTTTCTCTTCCAACATTTTCTGCAGAGACTCTTTTGCTTTCTGCTCATAAGTCTGCTTTTGGTCCTCCATCTCTAACAGGATCTTCTTCAGGCTATCCTTTGAGTAATTCTTTAAAGGGACAAGTGACCTGAATTATCAATGGGCTCTTAACCCGCTGGTGAGACATAAGGTTTAAAACAAGCAAAAGGCAGTATTTCTTTATACAATGTGCAGTCCAGTCAACCTGTGGAACTCTTTTTCAGAGAATGTGGTGAAGGGCAGAACTTCAACAGGTTTCAAAAAAATGCTACATAGATTCATGGAGGTTAGGTTCATCAATTCTTAGTAGCCAGAATGGGTAGGAATGGTGTCCCTAGCCTCTGTTTCTCAGAGGTTGGAAATGGGTGACAGGGGAGGGATGCCTTGATGATTTCCAGTTCTATTTATTCCCTCTGGGCACACCTGGCATTGGTACTGTCGGCAGACAGGCTACTGGGCTAGAGGGACCTTTGGTCTGACCCAGTACGGCCGTTCTCATGAAAGCTTAGAAATTTGAACAAATCCACCAGGGTCCAGTTCAGAATTGTTCTCGCTTCTTTTCCACAGCTTTGTCCTGATTCAATTTTAAATGTCTCAAACATCACTACTGTGGATGGTCTACTCCCTAGTCTCAGAGATCTCACTGGATCGGAGCATTAGTGTGTACAGATCGAACCTCTCTAGTCTGGCACCCTTAGGTCCTAACTGGTTCCAAACGAGAGAATTTTCTGGACCATGGGAGGTCAGTATTGTCTAGCAGCAGCATTACCAACACTTCCACTGCTTGCTGGGCTGTAAAAAGACGTTTAGGGGTAACTTAGAGCGAAATCAGAGCACAGAACACTGGGAGCCAGGACAGGTGGCTGAAAACAAACTTTAGGGGACCACGGGAAGCCTGGCCACACCCATGGAAAGTGGACATCTGGCTACCTCAAATCATTCTGGACGACGGATGTTTCTGGATGAGAGAGTTCTGAATTAGAGAAGTTCAGCCTGTACATGTGTAAAAACAAAAAGCTGCAGCAAACAACATAACGATTGTTTGACTCTATTTAATAAGAACCTTCTGGAACATCAGACCTGAGGTAATTACATTGTTCTGTGCTTTTATGTGCACGCAAAGTTCTTTTCTTTCTATATATTCTCTTCGCTTTAAAAAAAAAGTTGTGTAAGTTACCTGGGTGCAAGCGTGAAGCTGATTTTCAAGGGCCCTCAGTTTCCCCTTCAGTTTGTCTTCATTCAGTTGACCCTGGAAGAAGCAATTGAAGCAAGGTTGGGAATACTGAATTATACAACAACCTGTGCAGGGGTCTCAGTGAATCCATTGTCATTTGGCTCACTCGTGTTTCTGATTTTTCTTCTGCTCTTGGTGTCATATTCAGGGCTGGTTATGTTATTTTCCAAGTTTAAAATTTAAATTAGTTTTCAGAATTTGCAAAATAAGTGGGAAAAAATTAGAAACCCAAAGCAGTGAAAAAGGGGTTTAAAAAAAGAGAGAAACACTTGGAATTCCTCCTCCATCCCCCCATTTTTTCCTAACCAGCTTTATTAGTTAGAGGAATGCAGGATCTCCCAGAAAAGTCTTGTTGTTACTCTGGATGAATCTGTACTGAGAACAGAACTGCTGAACAGTCCTCCTTCCCACAGGCTCATTTTCTGCTTCATAATTCTCACTTGCGACAACATTTTGGCTTACGGCCCTAGCTGGAGCCCGCACCTTGGCTCATTGGCTTCCATAGGAAACAGACTGGGTTTGCATTACAATGAGCTTCATGGAGGGGTGGTAAGAGGAACAGGGAAACAGAGTCATCATGTATTTTCCCCAGTGTGGGTCAGGTTTTGCAGCGGGGTGTGAAGTGCAGGCTGTATGCAAATCCAGATAAAGCTTCTAGCAAAAGGCTCGCCTGGACTATCTTCTGCCATCTCTGATGTTCTCAGATTCTATGATTCCTTGGTTCTGTGTCAACACACAGATGTTCGGGCAAGTGTAAAGCCCAATGATTCCAGACATCAGTTCATATAACAAACTTTGAGGCCCATTGAAACACAAAAAAGAAGGCGAGGGTGCAATTTAAGCCAGATTTTACTGGCAGCTTTTTTAAGCCTGTGCCAAAGGGGTGTAAAACACTGCCAAGACGGAGTGGGAGCGTTTTTCACCCACTCTAGGTGTAAATGCACATGGAGGGCCATATGGGAGACAGACAAGTTCTACGCTATAAAAGGGCTCTTTGGCCATGATTAACTGTGTCTGTCTACACTGGGCTTTTGCCAGTACAGCTGTGGTAGTTACAGGTGCGCAAAAATATCCCATCTCTGGAGCACAGATTAGGCCTCAGCTCCAGTATGGTGTTCTGTTCTGGGTGCTGCATTTCAAGAAGGATGTGGACAAATTGGAGAAGGTCCAGAGAAGAGCAACTAAGAATAATTAAAGGTTGAGAGAACATGAGCAACAAGGGAAGACTGAAAGAATTGGGCTTGTTTAGTCTGGAAGAGAGAAGACCGAGAGGGGACATGAGAGCAGTTTTCAAGTACCTAACAGGCTGTTGTAAGGAGGAGGGAGAAAAATTATTCTGAAGCAAGGACAAGAAGCAATGGGCTTAAATTGCAGCCAGGGAGGTTTAGGTTGGACATTAGGAAAAACTTTCTGTCAGGGTGGTTAAACGCTGGAATAAGTTGCCTAGGGGGGTTGCGGAATCTCCATCACTGGAGATATTTCAGAGCAGGTTAGACAGACACCTGCCAGGGATGATTTAGTTCTTGATCTGGCCATGAGGGCAGGGGACTGGACTCTCCCAAGGTCCCTTCCAGTTGTAGTATTCTAGGATTCTATAGTATAGCTACGCTGGCGAAACTTAAAACTGTTGACCAGGCTCAGCTTGTGTTTACCCGTCCAGAGGGGTTGCTAAGGAGACACCACCATGCCCCTCTCAGCTTTCCAGTCTCATGGTTACATTAGGGTTGTTCCTCACGTCTGAGTTCTCTTAACATGGCAGCTCCCCCTTGTCACAGAACTCCAACAGCCTGACGGAGGCATAGAAGGGAGCTCAAAGTCAGCTGGAGGCCCGGTGGTTGTGAAAGTGGGCACTGATTTTTGGATGCTTTGATCCTCGTGCCACCCCGGGGTTTGATTTTCAGAGCCTGGATAATTTTAGTTCTTGGTAGCATCGATACACGCTATGGATGCTTGGCACTCTGGATCCTCAGGTTGGGATCCCCAAAATTGGGGCATCCAAAGTCAGTGGCCACTCCAAAATACTTGGAACCAACACCCGCCACCCCCACATCTCTGTTCAGCCATCAGCAAATTGCAATGTGTTTTTGATGGTGTCCTGGCTAGCTTCGTGATTGGTAGATTGCACCTAATGTTCCCTCCCTCTTTGCTTTTTCATAACCTGTCATTTTAAATTCCTGGTTTACCGAAGCAATTTTAAGCTTTGCATTCTCTTTGCTCGGACTTCATGCCCAGGCCAATTCAAATGGAGAAAAGCAAGTCCTGAAAGTGGCAGCAGGGGGTGGTGGAAACAACCCAGAAAATGTCCCAAACTCCCCAAGCTCAGATAGCATTTTGGGGGATCAGAAAATATATATTCAGGTGGTGTTTTTACACTTTAAAAGGCAGGTCTAAAAAGTCGTTACTGATTACTGTAACAATATGAAAATTAACCCTACTTCTGAAGGTCTGAAAGTACTTTGCAAACAGTGATTAAGCTTTACAACCGCCCTGTTTTTATCTGCTTCTTGCACACAAGGAAACGGAGAGGCACAAATGGGTTAAGATGTTTGCTGGAGATTAGTGGTAGAGCTGAGACTAAAAGCCAGAAGAAATTGATCTTTATAGTTTTGATATGTAGCCCCTTGGTCTAACTGTTGAACAAATTCCAATTGTACTGATGAACACGTTCAGTATATTGCTCTAGATGCACCTAGAAATATTAAGTAATATGTCATAGGGATTCTCAGCATACTTGTGACCCAATCATTGTTGTAGAGTATGATCACATTTTTCTTTTGTCTTCAGACTATCTGTTATAGGTGCTATTGGTTCTAAAGTGCTGGTTTGATGTCTCAGCTAGTTATGGACATGCAGCAACCATCACTTAATTTGCTTTAGAGAGGATCCCTGAAAGTCTCTGGCAATTTCATTTGCCGGCCATGGTCTTGCAGTAGAAGACTCTCTGGGCAGTTTCCTCCTGGACCGTGATAAACTATTTCCAGAGGACCAATTCCTAACTTTCATCTACTCTATTAGATGCAATACCAGCAACAAATTATTTTTGATCATCTCACAAAAGGTTAAAAGAAGAGGGAGCAGAGAAATCTATTTTCTATAGCAAAGACATTAAGAAGCAAAGTGCACCCACCTGTTTCTAATCTGAGGTTTCATGGCTACTTCCTGCCAGCTTGTGTGTCAGCGTGTTTTTTCCTGCTCGTATTATATTTGTCAGAAGCATTTTACGGAGGAAGTCTCAAACCGCAGTACATCTTAACACATTTTTTTCCTCCATTGCACCCAATCATTTGGCTCCTTGACTCTGACAAAACTATTTCAGATCTTTTTTTTTCCCCCTAGCCTCGTTCAAAATTAACTTTTTGAACAGCAATATTTCGGGGTGCAGCTTGTTTTTAAATCTCTATTTTAAAATTTGCTTTCTGACGGAGTCCATAACTGGTTGTACTTTACACAAACTGTTGCTTAATGCCCCCTCCAGGCTGCTGGTTACACAGCTACTGTGGGTCAGCTGTGATCAGAAATTGTTGCCTGTTTGGTGAGCCATGGGAGTTAGAGTTGGGGAAGAGGGGCGGTGTGTAATGCTGGGAGACCCTGGTTGTCTGTGGACAAAATCAAACCTGGGACTTTGGGAGCTTAGTGAGTCAGCCTCTACGGCCTGAGCCATAAAACCAGCTGGCTGTCAGCTAAGGCTGTACAGCAGACTCATTATTTTCTCTGTAAATGGTCTCGGTGCCAGTAGACGTAGGGTTGTCAGATACTTTAAAAAAATACCAAAAATGGTAGGGAAAAAACTGGTTGAGCAAAAAACAGGGGACCACACTTGTTGAGGGGGGAAAAAAAACCCACACAAGAAAGAGGCACTGTGCCTTTAAATCCCCATGTTTCTCCCTTCCAGACGTGGGGGAATGTCCTAAGTGGCCTTCCGTCTGTAAAACATTTTACATAGCCGGTATTTTCTGTTTTTTTTATTGGACAGAGGCCGCAAATACCGGACAGTCTGGGCCAATACCGGACACCTGGCAACCCTAAGTAGATGGGACAGTGCACCACACCCAGTAGGTGTGTGGGTTACATGTGGAGGCCAAAATTCAGCAGAACGCGTCCGGGTATGTTTAACATTGAGAGTGTTTTTAAGTGTTCTGCTGGCCCATGCGGCGTGAATGAGTGTCCATCTAAAATAAACTGTCACCACAGCTGGCACTAGGTTGCCTCCTGACTGACAGGCTCAACGGGGCGGCCTTTTGCTTTGGAGAGGCTCCCTCCAACGTACATCAAGAAGGAATTAAGACAGGCTGCATGGGAGACACTTGCGCTGCTGCTGTCCGCGATATCGGTTCTGGCAGGATAAACAGAGATGTTGAGGCTCCAGGAGGGAAAGTCTAGCACCTTCACCAGAATGAAAGTCTCTCACGTACACAGGTAGTTTAAACAGAGGAACCTGCTCCGTCTGGCTCTGCATTCGTTCTTGGCATCTTATTTAGGGGAGTCTTGGCATCGTTTGGCAGGAGAACACACAGAAACAAGCTGTTGCAGAGCTTATGGAGGCTACCTCCTTGTTAAAATCCCTCCTTTCCCCCTTGGTTTCTCAGCACAAAATGGTACAACATGGGGTTGCTTGAACAAAAAGCAGTGTTTTCTCCATTGAAAAATGGCTTTTCAATCTAAAAGAAAAAATTCATGTTGGATAAAATCTTTTTTTTTTTGTCTACTCCTATTCCCCCAAATTTAAATTTTGTTTCAAAGTGAAAACTTTTATGTTTTGCTTTTTATGGGAGGGTTATTAAGATTTTTAATGCCTGCCCCCAATATCTCAGGCTAAATGAAAAATTGTATGGAAAAATTCAAGTTGGCTAGATTTTTTTTTTAATTATTTTTTTGGCTGCCTCTGTTACCACAAATGAAAGTTTGTTTCAGAGTGAAAACTTCTGTATTTTGCTTTTTATGGGGGACATTAAGATTTTTAAATGTTTCTCCTCCCCCGACATCTCAGATTTTTTTCTGCTGTAAAATGGTGGCAAACATGAGTAACAGAAAATGGGGGAGAAGTTTCAAATCTCCAAAATTCTGAAAAAAAAATGTGTCCAAACGTCATGAAAATGTATGGTTCATCCCAACATTTGTCATCTAAGAAAATGTGGAGGGGGCGGGGGGAGAGGAGGAGAATGAAAACTTCAAACAAAAAGAAAGCTTCCACAACAACGGAAATTTTGTTTTTCAGTTGACCCTAAACAGAAACAATATTGGAGTGGGAGGGGAATGATTTTCACATGCCAAACAGTTCTGAGCACTGTCCTGTCCTCTGACTGACATAGCTCTACTTCAGAGCTATCCCTTCTCCATTAGCAGAGAAGGATCATCCCAAAATAATCATCCCAGAAGCGGAGTTGGAATTCAGCTGGCAGAAATGAGCAAGGCCTGATGGCGTTCTCCTCTGTATATGCATGGAACCCAGATATGGCAGATCCTAGCATAACCTTAAAAGTCTCTAGAAATAAGCAGCAGTTGGTACCTTCCAAGATTTTTCAGAGGCTTGCAGCAATGTGGATAAAAGCTCCTGTAAAATCACCATCTTCTGCTTCAGCAGCAGCTCTCGTTGTAGCGCCTCCTGTAGGAAAAACGAGAAAGCCAGGCTAATATTGGTGCTATGAATGTGTGTCTGTGACCCTAGTTCACCTGGACATCTCGGGTTAGCGTCTTTCCCCTTTAGGACTCAGATATTTTTGCGCCTCTCTATGGCAAAGTCTTCATTGCCAGGAAGATCAACGCTGCAGCGGTTAATCTTCCAGAGTTTGATTTAGCAGGTCTAGTAAAGACCCGCTAAATCGAACACAGAGGGTGCCCCTGTCAATGCTGGTACTCCTTGATTTGTGAGGAGTAAGGGAAATTGCTTGCTCCCATCGACCTTCTGCTGTGGGGACAGCTCGGAAGGTCCGGTTAAGGCACGTTGACTCCAGCTGTGCAGTTAATGTATCTGGAGTTGCCTATCTTAATTTGACCTCCCAGATAGTATAGACAAAGCCTGGGCTTCAGTAGCTGCTCTTTTTCCCCCCCTGAACACCTTAAAACTAGGTGCATAATACCATTTCAAAGCTTCCTCCTCCCACTCACCACCCATTTCTAGAACTGAATTTATGATTTTGGGGCTTACCCTGAGGTAGTTGGAAAGTTGAATGATTTCCTAAAAGTGAAAGAAAAGTACAGTAAAATGCAGATTCAGCTTGTGCAAACCTTCTATTTGATTATATTTTTTAAAAGTCCATAAAGGAAAAGATTTTGCAAGCAACTGTGATCAGTAGTATGAGTTCTAACAAGCATTAAATTGGAATCTTAAGTTATCACATTCTTTGGGCAAGGATAATAAACTGCACAGACCTTTGCTGTACTTAGACTTGTGCAATAATACAGCTGTTCTGTCATTTACCGGCTAACCCCAAAGTAGATATTTTCTCATATGGTTAGTGCTTTCCCTGGAACAAGACTGTGTCGGTCTACTGCATTAAATGCACTGTTATAGATCTTCCTCTCATTAATTTCCAGCAGTCTCGGTCATCTACATTCCAATCAGGAACAAAATCTACTTGCAATGACACTATTCAAACCCAAGCAGTGCAGAATTTGGCCCTTTCAATATTGATGTGTCTTAGGACAACAGGATTCTAATAGGCATTTCTGTGTGATGTTTTGCTTACCTTATCTAATACTGCTATTCCACAGCTAAAATGAAAACAAAAAAAGATTTTTCTTAAGATGGACATGGTACAGGTGTATGAAAAAGATCACAAGAATGGGCACAATGAAATCACTTGCTAAGCAAGGGAGAAATCCTATGACAAGTTGGTAGAACAACAAATAATGCCAATAATAATGATTCCTCGCACTTGTGCGGCACCCTGCCTGTGAGTACGTCAAAATGTCTTTATAGTATCTGTGAATCCCCAGCCCTGCAGAGGCAGGAAGAACGTGCTCCTAAGAGGAAAGATGACAAAATACTTTACTCTGTTTGTTGACTTGAGTCTTTCTTTATTGCTCTGGAATCTGTTAATGTCTGAGTGCCTGTGAAGAGAAAATGGAGAGGGTGGGGTACTAGTATCTAAACTCTCAGCCGATACCTAGTATAAATCCCACATCCACAGCTGCGCTGCTTGTTGTGACGGTTCATAAAGTACACTGCCAGCTCTGTACGGGGATCATTTCAACCTGCACCGAAATGCGCCTGCTGTTGGGGTGATGCATGACCCTGTAAACTGCACACAGCAACACAACGTAGCCATTTTGGGCAGGAGGCAAAGTGGAATTTAGGCCATTTACCTAAGATAAAATGTGGCATAGTGACTGGCAAACGGGCCAGTGTCTGAGAAAAGTGCCGTGATGTTGTTAAGCATCACAGGAGTTCAGAGCCGCCATTTTGTATCTGTATGGATCGATGGCTCCCTCTGTGGCACGATGCCATTTTGCCACAGGCTGGGACACTGAAGTCATTATGGTAGGTGCTGAGTCGTGACCCAGGCCTCGGTGGTGGAATATCAGGCGCAGGGTCTCGGTACTGCAGGGGGATCAGGTGAGCAGTGGGGGCTAAGGCAGCTCCCTGCCTGTCCTGTCACTGCACACTTTGCTGCACCCCAGAAGCAGTCGCAGCAGGCCTGGCTCCTAGGTGTGTATGTGAAGAGTGCACAGGGCTCCGTGCATTGCCCCTACTCTGAGCTCTAGCTCCACGCTCCCATTGCCTGGGAACCTGCTGCCGGCTGCTTCTGGGGGCAGCATGGTCTGTGGTGCCAGGAGAGGCAGGAAGCTGTTGTAGGTCCTCTGCTGCACCCCGACCGGGAGCCGCTCAAGGTAAGCCCCTCCTGCCTCCCCAACGCCAGAGCCCCCTCATACCCCCCAAAGTTCTCAGCCCCGCCAGAGCCCCCACTCTTGTCAAATTAATGTTGGATCATGGGCATTGACAATTTTTTTCAACTGGTTCATAAGAAAAAAAGTTTAGCAAACCGCTACAATATTGGCTCCGCACAAAGAGTAGCACCTAACGAATCTTCTCACATGTGCTTTGCAAAGGGGCAAAAGTCTGATATGGCTGCTACAGAGCCCCCCCTCCACTCCCCCTTAACCACGTGAACAGGGCTTCTAGTAACAGAAGCTCTTTTGGCATGTCTGATCCTTGATGCTCTGCAAATCTGCAGGTATCTGCTTTATATCCGCAGGTGTGCACATCACCCGATACAGATGCAGATAGCCATGCCTCATTTTTGCAGAAATACATTTTTTTTTATGTAGAGCCCTGCAAATTTGTGGATACCTGCTTCGTAGCCACAGGAATTCACATCCCCAGATGTGGATGCAGATAGCCACGGCTCATTTTTGCAGATGCAAATTGTGTATCCACGCAGGGCTCTCCAGATCCTGCACTCCCATACAATTCAAAGGCAAAACACCCAATTGATTTCAGAGGTGCAGGTTAAATTGGATTTTTTTATCAGTTGAGACCCTCTTTCTCTGCCTGCTTTGGGTATCCCGACCAAAATAATGCATCCGTTTCCTTTGGACCTTGGCAGTTTAAATAAAAAGCAGCCTGGATGCCAATCATCTTGAGTCCTATTTTGTAAAACCTAGGTCTCCTTTAGCCCAGCTTCTTGTACCTCGGCTGCTCCTGGAGATGTATCTGGGGAGGATGTTTTCTGATGAGATGCCACAGGAGAGCAAGTTGTTCTGTGGGTGAGGATCAGTGGGACGGTGCTGGAGGAGCTGGTGATGGGATGCGGCGGTGCTGTGAAGCTGCAATGAAATCAGAGTTCAATCTATATATTGGCCTATGAAAAATCAGCAGCAAAAAGGGAAAGCACTGAGCCAAATCTCATGGTGTCACTTAAAACACGGCAGATAGTGTGGCTGACCTGAGGAATAACATGAGTGGAGATGGAGGTTTACAGGGGGACTGGGTGCAAGGCCTAATTTTTCAGAGGATGCTGAGCACTTACAACTTCCACTGGAGTCCGTGTAAGGATCCGTGCAAGCACTTACAACTCCCACTGGAATCGGTATAAAGGTCTGTGCAAGAGCTTACAACTCCCAGTGGAGTCAATGTAAGGATCTGTGCAAGTGCTTACAGCTCCCACTGGAATCGGTGTAAAGGTCCGTGCAAGAGTTTACAACTCCCACTGGAATCCATGCAAGCGCTTACAACTCTCACTGGAGTCCGTGTAAGGATCCGTGCAAGCGCTTACAACTCCCACTGGAATCCGTGTAAGGATCCGTGGAAGCGCTTACAAGTCCCACTGGAGTCCGTGTAAGGATCCATGTAAGCTCTTACAACTCCTACTGGAATCGGGTAATGTGGGAACCAAGGTAAAGTGGGGAACCGTCTCATGGCTGGCCGACTGTGACACTGAGTGGAAGACGAGGTGTGTGGGGAAAGGAAGTGCTTCTGGGAGGCCAGGGCGGGGGAGGGCAGTTGCTTCATGAATCGCACTGAGAGGAAGAAAAGAGCTTTTTGATGCTCTGAGTTATTTCCTGGCTAACACTGCTGCTGGCAGCTGGCGAGCTATAGGCCTAAATCTTCATTCTGTTCTATCTGGGTGTCTCTCCAAGATCGACTTCTGCTCATCAGAGACTCCTGCAGGTGCTAGGGTGAGAGTCTAGAAAGACTCAACCTGAATTATCGGCACATGGGTTGCAAGCATATGAAAATCTGCCCCAAGATTCTCACTGCCTGGCTTGTAATTAAACCTGGAGACCATAAGAAGTAGATGGCAGCATGAAGTAAATATCTGTCCTCCACACTCATGTCATGTAGAGAAGCCCCAGGGCATGTCTGTGCTTCTATTTTATTGCCTTGGTTATGCATTTTAGTTAAAAGTCCCTTGGATAACTTTACTTAGGTAGGAAAACAGATGATTCCCCATTGATTCCAGTGGACATTGGATAAGGCCCGTAGAAGACAGCCAACCACCCGTGAAAGGTATGACTGTGTCATAGCCGTGGCTGTTACCTGGAGGGATATGGGTGACCTCAGATCCATCCAGGAGGATGCTTCTTTGGATATGCCTGTTGCATGCTC